ATACCCCTTTAAAAACAGAACTCTCTATTTAAGGAAATGTTAATCAGCTGAAAGAAACAAAGCCAATTAGTTACATGCTGTTAGTTTTGTTCCTCATTCGTCATATTTCCTTGATGTCTGCAGAAGCGGCTTATTCATTAGAATTAAATTAGACAAATGGCACTCTCATTTCTTCCCTTCCCTTTTGTAGTGTGTAGTCCTTTCTGTGAATTGGTTTTAAGTGATTCTCAGTTGGCCAATCAAGTTACTGCAAATCTGAGTTGTCTTCTTAACCTTTAAGAATTTCTTATAAATTCCTTTCTTGCATGGATGTTACTAGTAGATTTCAGTGGTACTCCCCCATTAATGTCTAGCTCTATCTAATATAGTGTACTAAGGGGAGAATTTTGTCCTTGATAGAGCACTTTGTTAAGGATGGTCAAAGGCAGCTTGCTGGTCTTGGTAGGATCTGTCCCCTTAATTTAATAACAATAACTGTTCATTAGGCTTATCTCCTTGTCTTCAGAGAGCCTAACAACTTGAAACCTGATATGGTTTCAAAATATTACGATCATTAGATGCAAAGGTACTGTGCATTGGTTATATTTAAAGAAACAAACTAACCTCTTAGAAGCAAAAATCAGTCAGCGGTTTGAGATGTGTAGGGAAGAATAATCTACCAGATTCCCAGAGCTGGAGTCTGTATCCTGAGAATGCATAGTCTTTGAAACAGCAAGTGAGAATGGCAGGCATGTTCTAGAATATCAGTCATGCCTCTGTTCTGACTCATATGCATGTTTAGCTTTTCTGTTTTCCATTTAGAAAACAGACTTTCTGGGTCTAACAGTAATTTGACCTCTGCAGTGCCCAGCATTAGTTTAATGAAAAGTCATACTCCTCACTTGTCAAAACCAGCTTGAGCAGAAATGTATTTGCAAAGCGCAAGGCTGGCAGCTTTGGGTGGATAGCAATGGCGGTCAGCTATGATAACAGAACGAACGGTGTCTATCTAAGTACTGGTGCCTGTAAAGTTTTAATGTCTTTCCATCTTTAAGCTCTTGATATTTCTTTCTCTCTCTCTCTCTCTCTTTTTTTTTTGTTGTTAGAACAAGTGTAGTATTTGGTGTATCTCCAAGTGTATCTCATGGGATAAACATGGGGATTTTGATTATTCAGACCTAAGGCTGTCATATTGTGTGGTTTTTTAGTAGCAGTCTTTGTTTTATGCTTTTATGTGGATTCTCTTCTCTTCCTATCTTCAGAGCCTGACTTAAATTTGGGTAATATCCATGACAAAAGAAGGCAGAAGGTTCATTTCGTTTCTTTTAGTAAGCTGAGATATTAGAGAGGAGGAAGTGGTGCTATGTTTTATTATACGCCTCTGAGAATAAACACTTTTACTTGCCTCAAGCATTTGTTGGAGTTATTAAGTTTGGTTTTCTCTCTTTCTCATTTCTTTCCTTTGGCTGGCTGCCTTGCATTGACAGCATCAGTCTTAGAGTTTGACCAGCCAAGATGATTATTTAGGCAACAGTCATGCTCACTGAAGGCATTTTACTACATATCTCGAAACTAAACTTTGTATCATAGAATGATGGCATTTACCCTTTTGCGGTTTAGATTTTGTAGGCACATGTAGAAAAACTGACATCAGATCCCATGAGAAAGTCATGATTTTCTTGTCTGTGAAGACTAATGTCTTTCATATTAAAAAAAATAAAAAGCTCTGTGTACATGCACTTGATATACCTTTTTTTTAATGTAGTGTGATCAATTTCATTTCTTGTTTACAAATAATACATTTAAGGAGCATTTTCAGTACTTTTTTTTTTGAAGAATACTGAGTCACTATAGTTGTATTTAGTAGGATTTAAGAAAATAGTCCCAGATCTGAAGCAGATTCTAACTGGTTATTTTAATCAAATTTTCACAGTTCAATAGGTTAATTTCATTACTTGACCTCATCTCCAAAAATAAAATCTTTATAGTAGCATCCAGTGGTCCTAATACTGCAGATTTGAATATTTGTGAATATTAGCATGAAGACTTCAGGTATGACCAGAAAAGGAAGGTAAGCGAGAAATACATCTGAACATTGGAATGGTAGTCACATCATCTCCCTGAGAACATGGGGGGATTTGCCTTCTGTGCTTTCCATTTAGAAGTCAGATTTCTATGTTTAATAGTAATTTGAGTCCTTAGTGCCCCCCTCACCAAGATTTAGGAAGCACTTGTTCTAGTAGTCGTTGCCTATTTGTAGAGTGTCAGAATCTCCATATTTCCTTCTTTTTTTTTTTGTGATGAGAAATAGGATGCTATCCCTTAAAAAAACAAACAAAACAAAACCAGGTGCAAGAAGAATAGCATCCTATATTCTAGATTTACTTAATTTCTGGTTAGTACATAGTCATTTTATACCATAGCCCTTTACCTCATTCACACATTCTTGCAAGAAATTTCAAAATGGAACTTAAAGGAGAAAACAGGTTATTAAAATTCATTTTCATTCAGGGTCAACAATTTTTAAACTATGTACTTTGAAGAAGAAGGTTCCAAAAATGACAGTATTGTAGCATTTAACGTAGCAATGCAATACATTTTATTTTTCCAGGGAAATTCCCTAAGAATTTTAATTGCATGATTATAATTTTCATATTAGATGCTGACAAGTGTGTGGTTATTATCAATTTGCATTGTTTGCAACAGCAGAATGAAAAACATAAACACTTCTAATATCATTTTTGTTTGTTTGTTTCCAGAAAAGTGACATCAGTGTACAGTGTTTTTTATTCTTCTCACTGTTAGTCATTTCAAATCATTTTAAGTACTTCTAGCAGTTCTGGTAATTATCTAGTTTGTACTGCTACCAAGAGATGTTGTAGGATGTGATAGAGAGCAGGGCTGTGGGAGCCTGCTCTCTTTCCTAGTATTCCTGAACAAAGAGGGACCTGTGTTTCCACTAGTTCTGCTGTCACCAAGTTGAATTTGTTGATGAGGTTGAGACTCATTTTCCGCACTAACATTGCAAAGATGCCTCTCCTCACTCTTCTTTCTTTCTCTCATCATGGAGATGCTACACTAAGCTAGAAACCTTAAGACTGGAAGGGATCTCTGAAAAATAATTTATTTTACATTTCATATTTTTACAGTTAAGAAATAGGAAAATTAGGGAGCACCTAGCTGGCTCAATCGATTAAGCATCTGATTCTTGGTTTCACCTCAGGTCATGGTCTCGGAGTCGTGAGATTGAGCTCCATGTCAGGCTCTGTGCTCAGCATGGAGACTGCTTGAGATTCTCTTTCTTCTTCTCCCTTTGCTTCTCCCCACCCTTGTGCTCTCTCTTGCAGGCATGCTTACTCTCTCAAATAAATAAGTAAATTAAATCTTAAAAAAAAAAAAAAAAAAAAAACAGAAACAGGAAAGTGAGACATTTTTTTCTCCAAGATGATACATATACATTATGGGAGAGGTGAGATGTGAGTCTGGCCTCCCTAAATCCAGGAAAACCAAGATCAGAGTCAGAACACACCATCAAGCCAGCAGGAGCATCACGTGGGAAACATGAAAGCAAGGCAGAGAAAATATGGTGATGAGCAAACAGTGATGAACTTTGTTATTTTCTTCTTTCTTAAAATCTAAGGATAATTTTCAAAATAAATGTTAGCTACAGTTGCTTGAAACCATTTTTCAATAGCATTTAACTGAAAAACAGTAAGAGAGGAAATTTGTAATAGGGATAAGAAAATGAAATGGAAAAGTAAGATGCTTTTGAATTAAAATAATTTAATTGCAACATAACTGCAAAAACTCAAGGATGTGAGAAAAAATGTAAAGAAGTAGGAAAAATAATGAATATACCTTCTCCCCCAAACCACCACTGGTGTTTTGGCACATTTTGTCCCATCTTTTTGGGGGGTGCATTTTTCTTTATTATCTGATACCCCTCATATTGAATTGTGTATGATGTTTTTGTGGCTTATCATTGAATCACAAGTATTTCTCATGTCATATTATAAAAACTTTATCAATATAACATTGACTGTATGATATTCTCTTATCATGCCATAGTTCATTTCACTGTCAATTCCAATTTTATTTCATATTTAGGGTATATATAATCTTTGCTAAATAAATGGCATAATAGATATCTTTGTGCATAAATACCCATCTTCATTTTACTTAATTCTCATATAATAGATTTCTAGATCTGGAAATGCAAGATGGATAATAAGTAGGTTTTGAAGAGAAAGGGTGAATGTTAGGAACATTTTAAGGAAGTAGAGAACATTTAAAAACCCTCCAACTTCTAGCCTTTCATCTTTAGGAATCTTAAAGTCTACATCTTTTTTTTTTTTTTTTTTTACAGGAATTCCTTCCCCCCCCCGCCCCCATGACTTTGGAGGCTTCTTGACTCATCCTTTATGCAAATTATGAAGTTAAGTTTCAAGTAAGGCAGAGCACAATATTTAGGTTAAGGAGTCACTTTACCATTTTACCATATTTCTGTTTCTTGCTAAACCTTCTAATTCAGGGCTATATTTCTTGTCTCTCTAAAATTTCCTAGAATTTCTCTTAAATGTCACTAATTTTAATGGCTTAGCAGCAGCAGGGCTACTTTCTGGCAGTGCCCCGATAATGGCATCAAAGAGCTAAAATTTTACTCACTTTGATTGATGAGCTCATTTTGTTACAGAGGACAGATTGGATTTTTTTTTTATACTGGTAATAAAAATTAATGTGTGATGTTGCTTTTCGGATGTTATTGGATCTCTGCCTTAATACAGATTTCAGCAATAAAAGCACTAGCAGATAGCTTGACCAGAAAGTTACCTCCCTCCCCTTTAAACTACCCTTAAAAGTAAAAGGTGCTTCTCTAATTTTGCACTCCTGGTGTGTGCATATATATGTGTATGTACTGGCCTCAGTGGGGTTGAGGGCTGTGGGGAAAGTGGTAGCAGTGGGGTAGTACCCTGTGTTTCAATTTTCCCTCTAATTGTGATGTTTATCTCTGTTTATTTCAGCACCTCCAAGGTTTACAAGAACTCCCGTGGACCAGACAGGGGTCTCTGGCGGAGTTGCCTCTTTCATTTGCCAAGCTACAGGAGACCCAAGACCTAAAATTGTCTGGAACAAAAAAGGAAAGAAAGTCAGCAATCAGAGATTTGAGGTATTAGGTCCATTGTTCTGTTTCTCTGGGGGAAAAATGTATCTGTTGTATCTTTGGTTTGTATATTGCTTGTTTTACTGTCATATGAAGTGTGCTAATCACTGAGATATGGCCTTCTTTTTGTTGCTTGTGTTGGAAAACTTAGTTCTAAATGGCTTTTTGAAAAGGAATTTGTGGGTTCAGGTGACTAACTTTTGCATTTAATTGTATCAGGCTCAGTGTTCTTGGTATCCATCTCCCACAACCAAGGCTAGAAGATGAGCGAAAGCTTCCTATGCTCCCAGCTCTTACTGAGTTACTTGCTTGTCCCTGGACTAGTGTATAAGGACAACTGGTTGGTACAGGCCAGTTAATTTAAGTTAATCAGAATCTACCTCTGTTGCTGGGAAGGAAGTCGGTTCCATCCAACCCTATGGCCCGGAGTGGGGAAGCAATGTTTTCCCATAGGAGATTCAGGTGCCTATTACAAGGAAGAAGGGGAATGGGTACTGGGCAGCAGATGAAGCTGTCCATTGCATCTCACAGCTGTGTTTTACAAGTACCATGAACTAAAATGAGAAATTAGCTCCAGTTGTTGGGCTAAGCACTACTCTGGAAGAACATACCCAACCAGGTTGATATTGCAGTTAAACCTTTGAATAAATTACTCAGGAAAGCTCAATGACTTGAAGATGATGAAGCATAATTCAGATATTACTTTGAATGTTTTTAAGGAGACTAATGGCTCAGAAATTTGCTCATTTTGGAGGTGAAAAATAGGTAATAAGATATGCAGAGAAAAATTGGGAGAAGCACACAATAACATGCCTGAAATTTAAGACGTGAAGAGAATAGCTTGATTCTTAGAGGATACAAAGACCTCCAAACTGCCCCAAAGTGTAAAACTCACTTTCTTTTACCTGAGTTTCTGACATACTTCATAGCCTAATTCATAGCTTGGCAAAATAAAGGCAGTTTCTAGTTTAAAGAAATATAGCAAGTACAAAATTCAGAACATTTTTGATTTTACTCATTTTTACCAGGTTTCACAGAGCAATAAATGGTCCAGATGCCTTATAAAGGGTATAATTAATTACACTGGTAGAAATTTAAATGTAGACTGCAGTTTACAAATTATAAATTTAAAATTATGTTTGTTTGAAAATCAAATACCTACAGTGATTAAACATAAAAAAATCTTAATCATTGAGAAATATTTCCTATATCATGTAGAAAATGATGTGTGTGTGATCTTTAGTACACATTTTTTTTTTTTTTTAGTTTAAATGAAATTGAATTTTTTTATCAAAGAGAAGTTTGACATCATACTTGCTGGTGACAGTAGGTTCTTGACAAAATCTTGTAACAAAGATTAAATTGTAATAGTAAACATTTCAAAGCATGAGCTCTGCTCATTACATAATTCCAGATGAGAATCATATAAACACAGCCAAGGAAAATTAGTTATTTTTACATGAAGCATGTATATCAAATAGTGCTGAGTCTTGGGTTGAGAATCTTTAAAATCTGTAATAGTATATATGTATTTTTTTGTTTTGCTAGTTTATAAAGCCTCTGAGAGCTCTAAATGAGACTGATTTTGCTTCTTCTATCTCCAGTGGCAAATACAATGTCTGGCTTAGAGTAAGTAGGGCACAATCAATACTGGGTATTAAATAAGGTTTTCAAATTGGAGATTGCAACACTAGCATGTAATGTGTAGTATAGTGTTTGTTGAAAGATGATAGGTCTAACTCTAGGAAATAGTTCAGAAATGTAAACATACAGTGACATATATCAGTTAGTTGTTAAGGGATAGGTTATAAGCCTTCTCATTACAGGAAGAAAATTTGTTTTCTTTTCTTTTTATTGTACCTATATGAGATGGTGGATGTTAATTAAACCTACTGTAGTAGTCATTTCAGAATACAGGTAAATCAAACCATCATGTTATATGCCTTAAACTTTATACAGTGATGTTTGCCAATTATTTCTCAATAAAACTGGAAAAAATCAAAATTTAAATTGGCGTTAGGGATATTTAAAACTTTCTCTACATTAAGCCATGAGATGTTTATAAATATATATATTTATAAACATATTTATATATATTTAAATATATATAAATACATATAGATGTTTAATGTTTATAAATTAAATGTTTAAAGTATATAGAGATGTTTATAAATATATATATATTCAATTATGGCGTACTTGTCAAAGATTCTAGTAACTATGAAACTTTTTCTCCCATGATGCATAGTGGATTCACTCTAAAATATATGCTTAATAGAGTTGAAAATAAATTGTGGTGCATTGGGAAGTGGGACATTTTGGCTGTCTCTGTGAATTTAAAACATAAACAGAATGCAGAAAGGACCTGAAGTGGATATATTTTAAAAACATTCGATCTTCCTTCCATATGTTGACATAAGCCTGTTTACACACAAAACCGGGGATTGAGCATCCCAATAAATGTGTTTACAAGGCATTCTCAATTCATAATTTAGGCACATGGAACTATTAGTCACAGGGAAATGCAAAAAATACCTCACCAGAACCAGAAAGCACAGCATCTCAGTGAGCAGCTGAAAGAGCACAGTATAGTTATAGAAAAGACAAGTAGAGGACTCCACAGTTTCGTACCCATATTTATCAGTTTCATCATCATCATCATCATTATCATTTTTGAAGTAGTACTTGAATTAGCTGACAAATATCTAGTATTGCTAAACTGCTTCAGAGTGTAGTCCGTAATGATAGTGAATTCAGGCTTACTCTTTAGGACATTAATTTTCTGCCCGTTGAAGCAAGCCTCCGTTTTACAGCAAAAATGCCCTAAAAATGCAGAAAACGCTAAGCTAGAACAAATACTGGAATGATTTATAGCAAAATTAATGTATGCCATCAGTCTCTTGGGTTGTGAAAGCCATCTCGTTGGCTGCCTAAGTATTAGATTTATGCAGTTTCTCTTCATGGTTTGCTCATCTATACTGTTCAGGATGAAACACTTTAAGCCAGAAGAGCTGTCTGTGGTGGTATGCATTATGTCTTCACCTTACAGTCCAATTATTGAGTCGATCCACATATGCATACATGCTGTGAGAGAATAATTTGAGAAGGTTATCCATCATAGCAACAAGTCTCTTGCAAAATTAACAGGGTCAAATTGTCCTAGATGCATATACTAGAATATTTTCATGAGTAGACCACGGATGGTTTTCAGTAGACTTTGCATTTGTAGTTACATGTCTTTCCCTTTGTTCAGGAGAAGATTCATTAAATTAAACCAGTTATTCTGTTTTACTACTATGTATCAAAATTCAGTCTTAAAATGCTGCTGTGTTTATTCTGAGCCAAAAGACTGGTTCACCACTGTATTAAGGTTTAGCTGAGAGGTAGACAATTGTAACAACACCTGTGACAGCTATTGTTTCCTCTAATAGGTAATAGAGTTTGATGATGGATCTGGATCAGTTCTCAGAATACAACCCTTACGGACTCCGCGGGATGAGGCTATTTATGAATGTGTGGCCTCGAATAATGTGGGAGAAATAAGCGTATCCACCAGACTCACAGTTTTGCGTGGTAAGTACTCAAGTACAAGGTTGTTGCTTGTATTATTGCTGAAATTCTCTATCCCTGGTGTTCTTTTGTAGGACCACTAAAAAGATGAGAGTTGTCATGACACTTAAATGGGAAATGAATTTAAATACAATGTTTATCAGGGTGAAACTTTTAAACAAAGGGTGGGTGCCTTTTCTCATGGGGCTTGAAGAATGCTATCCAGGGAGAGAAAAGAAAATCTCAGAGAAGCCCTAATTTCCAATGCCAAATACCATTATGATTTTTGCTAGAGTACCTAGAAAAGAAACAGGACATGCTAGTCTTCTCTCGTTAACATTGCTTGTATATACAAGGTTTTCTGCACCAAGGTGGGCCACCCCTTTTTACAGATTGCCACAGTTGACACTGATGTTTGCAAAATTAAAGGAACATCTTCTACCTAAAGATCAGTTCCTCATAAATGGAGGAATTGAGAAAAACAAAGGCACCTTACGTCTTTATGTCAAAAAGTATGTTTTTATTTCAGTCTTTTATATTTCTTGAACTAACATCTGTTAGGCAAAGTGAGTGGAAACAGCCCCCTGCTGTGTTTCCTGCTATGTGGCTTACACAGTTTGACCAAAGTATGAGATGACTTGCCAGATCTCCAATACAGTGGGTCTGCTTTCTAGACTTTCTTTAGAATGGCAGTACTAGAGAATAAAGGCTGGTGGTTAATAATACTCAGTTGTGTATCTCTGCATCAACATTTTGTGAAGAGATAAGAATATTGTCCGAATTGGCTACCTAGTACTTGACACTCCAGACTAACACTTCTGTGCCTTTGTGTCTTTCTCTGTCACGCACACTTTTGTTTGTTCATTGTGTTTTGCTTTGAACTTCATTTTGCTTGATTCCACCACTTATGAGAATAGACTTTTTTAAGATTAAGGGAAGTGGAAAAAAGGGATCAAACTTGCATTACCACAGAGGAATATAACATGGATTAAGAACATTTGTTCTCCACTCTGTTTTTTCCCATTGTGGGATGTATTTACTTTGTATGTTTTACAAAATCAAAAACATTTCCTTCTAGATCTTTGGTAATCTTTGATTATCAAAATCAATTAGTTAATCCAAGAAGCCTAGAAAATGAGATTATTTACTTACACATCTTAAAATATGTTTCAAATATTGTAAATATCTTACTAAATCTCAGGAGAAATACTGACCAACTGGTTATAGATCTTTTAAATGCATGTAACAGAATGATGCTTAAAAACAAGTAAGTCAGATTTGAGCTACATTTCTGCCCATTATGAGAAGTTACGTTTATATACAAAGTTCTCATCCTCCTATAAACATGTTGAGATGTTGATAAAATATCTGAAAATAAAACGGAATGCATGATTAGGCTTGCAAACAAGAAAGAAGTTTCCAGGTGTGAAAAACAATGAGAGACTCTCCAGAGGAGGGACAATTTATAATCTCATAACCCAAGATAATAACCAAAAGGACTATATGCTTTAGGGCTGGAGTTTTAGCTCTACAGCAGCACATAGGCTTGTATAAAACAAAATGAAAGTAAGAAGAGCTAGATAAGCTTTCTGCATAAAGGTGAGAATTCTAGCACTACTTCTATAGTGCAAGACTCAGGACCTAGAAGCAAACATAAAAACTGGTCAGATACAGTGACTCTCCCAGAGTGTGGAAGAGGCAGCCATGCTCGGCGGGGGGCCTGCTTCTCCCTCTCCCTCTGCTGCTCCCCCTGCTTGTGTTCTCTCGATCTCTCTCTGTCAAATAAATGAATAAAATCTTAAAAAAAAAAATGAAGATTTGAAAAGGTGACGGAAAGACTAAAATCTCTCAGGCAAGAATAAGATAGGGGGAAAAAGAGCAAATGGGAGTTAGAAGTCAGATTTTATTTTATTTTATTTTTTTATTATTTTTTTTTAAAGATTTTTTATTTATTTATTTGAGAGAGAGAGAATGAGAGAGAGAGCACATGAGAGGGGGGAGCGTCAGAGGGAGAAGCAGACTCCCTGACGAGCAGGGAGCCCGATGCGGGACTCGATCCTGGGACTCCAGGATCATGACCTGAGCCGAAGGCAGTCGCTTAACCAACTGAGCCACCCAGGTGCCCAGAAGTCAGATTTTAGAACTGGAAGGAGTCTTAGTGACTATGTTTATGAAGACTCTAACATGTACTTCAAAATATATGTACATATATATATACATATATGTGTTCACATAAACTTAGCAGATCTGAAATTGTAGAATAATTTCTTCAGGTGTTCACATATGAAACCAACGCAGACTCATTTGTTGATCTTCTTTTAAAATTTTAATCTCATTTCTTCACCTAGTTTAGAACTAATGCTGTTATGTAGGAAGTGTAATACAAAGGTACAATAAAGTAAAATTTACCAAACATATTTGTTTTTTTTTTCTTTACCTTCTGACTTCCTTGAATTCACCCCTTAAAAGGAAACAGTGACAAGTCGTTTGGCTTGATTTAATCTTTATGCATTGATGAAGAGATTAGCAAAAACTTGGGAGGAAAATATTATTTTACTTAGACTTTCACATGGATTTATGTTTTCCTGCCTCCCAGTTGATTAGGGCCCCCCACCTTACCTACTTTTATTCAACAAGCTCCTCTATAAAACAAATACATGTGAGAATTTTAATATCTTGGCTTTCTGTGTGAATAGCTGTCATATGTAAGTACATTTGTATGAAAATCTATGATTCTAGTAAAGATAGTTAAACCTTTTTTTTAAAGACTATGTTTAGCAATTTTGGAAATGTTTCATGAGAAAAGCTCAAAGGTATTTTGGATAATGGAAAAGTAGTCTAAACATAACTTAGAATAGTTTTCATATCTCCCTGTGGGATGAAATAAATGGGTTGGGAATTATCTTTGTTCCCTAGGGTTACCTCCTGGTTTAAAATTTCTAAATAACTATTTATAATTCTATTAATAATAGTCTTGACAACATATTCCAGTAGTAAAATCACATTCATAGAATATGAACATGGTGCACAGTTAATTAAAATGAATGTGAAGAGTTTCATACTACACTTGATGAGCTTTGTGCCCATTTAAGTTCACTTGCTCTTGCAGATCACCTTGGCAGACACTCAAGCTCTGCTCTGCCGTTGGCTGAAACTGCTGTACACCTTCAGTCAGTAGCCCTCATCAGATGCCCATTTCGTCCACATGGCTCATTTACTTTTTCCCTATTTTGCTGACAATGCCAAAAATGTGCCAACTGTCATGATGGATTTTGTCTAAGTGGACTGGATGGAGATCACTAATTTATTTCATACAGGCTACTAGAGAACCTAATTAATTGGAGATTTAGACATCTGAACTTTGTGGCTAATGCAGAGGACAGTGAAATAATACTCTGACCACCCATGTGCATTAAAGGGAGTATTTCAGGGGAAACCTTCCCTCTGTAGCTAGCTTCAAATTACCCTCACTCTGAAAAACTGTTTTCATAAGGAAGGATAACTACAAGCCCAGGCTGAACATGCCCTGGAATGAGATATTTAGGCAATTACCATTTATACACTGTGCACCATAGTTCATAGAAGAAGTAGTAAGAGAATGGGGAGTTGAATGCAGTACGGCCCCTAGGTCATATTTTAATTTTTTTGGCTGCCCTGCCTGTGGAAACACAAACAAAAACCAGCTCCCTTGTTCTGCAGTACTTGAGGATGCTGATGTGTGTATCTGTCGTACACATGTTTTCCCTCTTGAGCAGAACTTTAAGTCAAGGCTTCAGATGTCATTGAGAGGTTATTAAGGGCTGAGACTTGCCTAATTGTAGAATTGGAAGGTTTTTAGATTACAAATGAGACTTTCAAGGGCACAAGTATGACCAGATAGGGTGCTTTAAGAAGAGGATCATTATCCAAATGGATTTAGTTCTTTCTGAATCTTTGGTTCACTGGTCACCATTTCTTTCTTTTTTTTTTTTTTTTTAAGATTTTATTTATTTATTTGACAGCGAGACACAGCGAGAGAGGGAACACAAGCAGGGGAGTGGGAGAGGGAGAAGCAGATTCCCCAAGGAGCAGGGAGCCCAATGCGGGGCTTGATCCCAGATTCCTGGGATCATGACCTGGGAGCCGAAGGCAGACGCTTAACGACTAAGCCACCCAAGCGCCTCACTGATCATAATTTCTTACTGACCAAAGTTTGTCAGGGATAAGTCTTGTAGTATAAATTTATATAATGATAACTGGGGATGAAAATGTTCTCTCAGTTACATGTTACCAGTCACTGGGAAGGGAAAGTGAGATATTACTAAATTTTGCATCTACTTGTCTGACTATATTTCATGTTTCTTGAATTTAGATATTTTTCAAACAGTATTCAGAAAATACATGTATTATTGTCATCCAAAGAAGCATGTAATACATTCTTTTTTTAAGCTTAGCGGATTATTTATGGAGACTTGCTCATTCCCGAATAACACTGCCCCCAAAACATCACCAGCACTACCACAACAAAACAGGGTATAATATATAACACTGTTGCTTTTACCTACTTATAGGAAACTAGCTTTTTCACAGAACGTATAAAGTAAAATTATTGCCTAAAAAAATAAGCAAATATGAGACAACTTACCTAGTTTTGCAGATGTATTTTATGAAATGATACTTATGTTTACTCCACACAAATGCATCCTAATTTATGAATGGTCACCATCAAGACATAAGACAGTATACAAAGTTCCCAAGTCTCGGTCAGGTAATTTGAGTTCTAACTCTGGCTCTGTCCCAAAATAGCTGTGGCATCTTGAGCAAATGTGTTAACTTCCCTACTTCCCTGTTCTTCATCTTCATTTTTTATTATTATTTTTTTTTATCTTCACATGTACAGAGAAGGCAAAGACACTGGACTGGGATCACTGAGATTTCTCTTTAGCTTCCTATGATTCAGTGACATGCCTATTTCAGAAGCCAGTTTTTGCAAGATGGAAAAAATATGCTCCCTGAAGGTGACTGTAACTGAGATAGTAAAACAG